ATATATATATATATATATATATATATATGTATATCTATGCATTAGAGGTCGATCAAATTTCGGTTTAGGTTTCAGCGCCGATAGATGCCACTTGATCTTTCGTCATAGTTTCGGTTTCGGTCAAAATAGAAAAGTTAACTTTCGGTTTATTTTGGATTTCTGTCGTCTACCAGAAGTTAGACTGTCACTCTTTGTTGGTCAGCAATCTGACATCATTAGTGCTTGACGAATTGCTGTCATCGTATGATATATGACTAATCATCTGCGAACTGTGCATGATGATCTACATGTCCAATATTTCCAAAAATAAAATTTTAGCTCAAACAATTTATTGGTCTGTCTCCACCCTCCCCACCCCCCGGGGATCCGGTTGACAAGTCTGTGATGTCTTGTCGATCAGGAGGCGTCGACCACCGCCCCCCTCGACGTTATCCGGGGAACACCACCACTGGGCGCGCCCTGAGTGGGCAGGCAAGGGACGTGCTCGTTACCTGCCTTAAATAAAACAGCACCTACAGGGCTGTCAGCTGTGACAAGTCACAATAGAGCTTGTCATTTAATGGCGGCAATCTATTAATAGAACTTATGTCATTATTACTCATCATCCGGGTACTCAGCGCGGACAAAATGTCAACACTGTTCAGTATTACTATGTTAGCGAAGTGTCCTTGAAATTTGCTCACAACTCTATTTTACGAAATATTTTACATATTTTTTTTTACTTCTATTTTCTGAAATGCGACTTCATTGCTTGAACGGCAAATGTAACAGTAACTCGAGATACAAGGATCGTCCGAACGATATGCTGAAATACACCATAAGCTGCCATGTTTTAAGCAATATTTGTCCGCTGACCTTCTAAAAATAGTACACTATGACTTTTGCGGTCTAAGAAATGACAAAGCCTATTGGATGTAAAGGCAGAGACAGGATAGAGATCGTGATTAAAAGTTGCCGTTAATGGATATGAGGCAAGAGGTGAAGGTGGTAACCTTTGGTAGATGATTCTTTCTATGCAGCCCTGAGAAACCGTTCCTAGGCAACCGTTTCGTCCCAGCTACTTCGCAAATTAGGTGCGTCGTGGAAGCCCACTGTAGAAACCATATTTTAGGGCGTCCAACGCTTCCCAGGGATGGGTGGGGAAGATATTATGACGTAAATTTACTATCCCAACTCCTGAGAAAGTCGATCGTGTGCACTGTTTGCGAACACAGTGTCGGACCGACCGGGTGTTTTTGGGTTGGGGCGGCCCCCAGCGGAACCCAATCGAGCGACTCAGGTGGGGGCTCTCCTGGCAAAGAGACATCTCCAACGCGCCGCTTCACGGCCCGATGCCGGGCTTAGTGGGGTGTGCTTTGGGGAAGGCGAAAAGAGCTTTAAGCTCGACGGCCCACTGAGGCCATTTCTTAATGTAGTATTGGTCTATCTACCGTAAAGTCGAGTGGTGGGATTCCCCGAAGTGACGCCACTTCGCTCTGGCTGAGACACCTCTTGTCAAAATCCGTACCTTAATTTACAATATTTACCTACAATTCATGTATTCCCTTTCAAAGGGTTCAAATGACGTTGAATTTGCTATTGTTTGGTCGCCTTTCGTGTCCAAATAACTATTTGTTTGTTTTTTTTCTTCAGTATGTGCGACCCTGTATCCTGGAGCAACCGTGGCTGTCCAAACCTGTTCACTTACTACAACAACGAGGCGGTGAATGCAACACGTTTCTACCGCGAGCTGGTGAAGAACTGCAAGCCGTTCAGCCCGTGTCTGAGGGAGTGTGTGGACTACCTCGTGCAGCAGAAGACCAACGACCCTTGTCTGCGTGGTGACGTGTTCGAGTTCATCGAGGTGCGGTAACTCTTGTTGAACATGGGCAACTCTTGGCACTCTTTTTTTATTTAGATGGCTCAATCCCAGTTCAGTTGTATTACTCAGGTTATTTCCTTTGGAGTTTAAAAAATTCTCCTATTTTAGATTTCTATTCATCCTAATTTAAAAAAAAAAATGTTATTTCATTATTTGTATAATGCGACTTGTAACACTTCAAGAATCCGTTGCTTACAAAATAGATTGCATGCTTGCCCTCCTTCCCAAACCAAAATTATATCCCCCCCCACCCAACATTTGCGGCATTATAAATGGAGCCAACACCTTACACATTTCAAATGGACCTCCTCATTGTTCTGGTGTAAACCTAAACTGATGACACCCTGCTCAAATGGCAAACCGTCTGATGTCCCCCTGCTTCGCGTTCCACGCCCCCTTTTCACCTCCATAGTGACGCTACTGTCGTCCTATTCTGATACCAACGCTCTGCCTCAGATCATGATTCTTCTACTTGATTTATCTTTTCTTTAATACGGCGATTATTAGACATTTACCTAAACTCGTTATTCAGATGTTTGTTGGAGATGTTTACATCCACGTCAGATGTCGATATTGATAGAAAGATGGCCATAGAGTCTCCTTTTCTCTGAGTGCCACCAAAAACTAATTAATAAACTTCTTCTAGTTGCACACATATTAAGGGCACACATTTACGAGCATAGAAATAAGTTTTCATTTTACTGAAACTGATGTCGGTGACCCTAAAGCACGAGCACACTTGTAATGCCAACAAATCTTCTCTCTCCAGAAGCAGATGTTGAGTACCCACAATATAGGTCACGACATGATGGCCCGAATGGCGTCATGTGAGACAGAAGTCTACCAGGCGATGAATCCAGTGCCCAACGCTTACGTGCAGACCACGCCGCGATATTATGACGGTGATGGGATTGGCTACAGCTCTGCCTCTTTCACCAGCGTCACGTCCCTGCTGGTGACTCTTCTGTCACTGCTACCAACCATGTTTAGAATCTGAAAGCCATTGACACGGTTATGACGTCATGGTCGTGACTCTGTATGCCAGTTTTTCTTCCGTCTTCTATTTAAAAATTTATTTTTAAAAAAGGTGTTAAATTTTTATAGTTAAAAAAATGACAAAAATGTAATCAAATATCGTTTGTTCATTTTTTAAATAAAATAAAGCAACTACAAAATATTGTGTTTTTTTCTCATAATGCTATACAATGTTTAAATACTACGAATATGTGAGGGGAAAAAAAGCGAAGCTTACCTTTTTCAAGGTAAAAAATAAATTCTAAAATTTGATTAAAAAAGTAAATTGTGATGTGTAAATTACGTGTTTAACCTCATTACCTGTTAATAAAATACAGATGTTCCTGCTTACCATGAGCATGAGACGGGAACTCTGAACCCCCTCAGTTCATTCCGATCATTGAATTATTTTTTCATTAACAACCGGTTGGATGTATTTTCGACATTAGTGATCGTCGGAGATAGAGCTTGTGATAATATCAGATGATATTCACTCGAAGATAGAGCTTATGTTAATATCAGATGATATTCACTCGAAGATAGAGCTTATGTTAATATCAGATGATATTCACTCGAAGATAGAGCTTGTGTTCATATCAGATGATATTCCCTCGAAGATAGAGCTTGTGTTAATATCAGATGATATTCCCTCGATGATAGAGCTTGTGTTAATATCAGATGATATTCCCTCGAAGATAAAGCTTGTGTTAATATCCGATGATATTCCCTCGAAGATAGAGCTTGTGTTAATATCAGATTATATTCCCTCGAAGATAGAGCTTGTGTTAATATCAGATGATATTCCCTCGAAGATAGAGCTTGTGTTCATATCAGATGATATTCCCTCAAAGATAGAGCTTGTGTTAATATCAGATGATATTCACTCGAAGATAGAGCTTGTGTTCATATCAGATGATATTCCCTCGAAGATAGAGCTTGTGTTAATATCAGATGATATTCACTCGAAGATAGAGCTTGTGTTAATATCAGATGATATTCCCTCGAAGATAAAGCTTGTGTTAATATCCGATGATATTCCCTCGAAGATAGAGCTTGTGTTAATATCCGATGATATTCCCTCGAAGATAGAGCTTGTGTTAATATCAGATGATATTCCCTCGAAGATAGAGCTTGTGTTAATATCAGATGATATTCCCTCGAAGATAGAGCTTGTGTTAATACCCGATGATATTCCCTCGAAGATAGAGCTTGTGTTAATATCAGATGATATTCCCTCGAAGATAGAGCTTGTGTTAATATCCGATGATATTCCCTCGAAGATAAAGCTTATGTTCATATCAGATTCGTTGAACCAAACTTTCAACGAAAGTTTAACCAGACTTTCAACGAAAGTTTAACCAGACTTTCAACGAAAGTTTAACCAGACTTTCAACGAAAGTTTAACCAGACTTTCAACGAAAGTTTAACCAGACTTTCAACGAAAGTTTAACCAGACTTTCAACGAAAGTTTAACCTGGTTGTCTGCAAACGATTTACCAGATTTTTCATTTGCGATTCTAGACGGAAAACTTAAAAAAAAACAAAAAAAACAACCTAAAGAACCGACTTGTGGCACCGTTTGCATCAAAGGTCTGAGTGATGCTGCTCGATCTCAGCTAAAATAGTTAAACTGTAGGAAATGAAAGGAAGATATGTCCTCTATTCTGCGGGTTTAAACCCGCTGACTCAAACGTACGCAACTTTCTTAACATTGACCACCCCAAACATACGGGCAAAATGATAGCATCCGTGAAAACAAGTGCTTTAAATAAAAAAAAAACATATATGCTATAACATTTTTAAAAAATAAAAATAAAATCACACTGGAAAATAACAAAAATCGAGCAGTTGGTTATGGAAAATTCCATTATTAAAACTATTTAATGTTTGTGCTTAGTTCTTTCATTTCCATCAGAGGATGACACCGTTACTTGCTTTTCACATGATCAACGAAGCGTAGTCTGACCTGGCTGTACTTAAATCAGCGGTTCTCAACCTGTGGGTCGCGACCCCTTTGGGGGATCACCCGACCCTTTTCCAGGGGTCGCCTAAGACCATCTGAAAACACATATCCTTACAGCTATGAAGTAGCAACGAAAATAATTGTGTGGCTGGGGGTCGCAACGACGCGAGAAGCTGTATTAATGGGTCGCGGCACTAAGAAGGTTGAGAACCACTGACTTAAACGAAACAATAAACAGAAGGTTTAAAAAGTACCGGCATAGGATAAGAAAACATGGACTCAGGTCTCTTACCTAAAAAAAAAAACCCGAAGGATGTCGGGCAACTATGAATCAGTTTTAAAGCTAATTGCATTAACTGAATGAAGTAGGATTTTCTTTAAGACAGGCAACATTGTATTGGACGATAGAATGGAATCAAGAAGCTGCGTGGTGAGCGATGCAGGTCAAAGACTAGAATGATGTCATGTTGTGTTTCACTTAATGTCATGTTATGTGTTTCACTTGATGTCATGTTATGTGTTTCACTTGATGTCGTGTTATGTGGTTCACTTGATGTCATGTTATGTGTTTCACTTGATGTCGTGTTATGTGGTTCACTTGAGGTCGTGTTATGTGTTTCACTTGATGTCGTGTTATGTGTTTCACTTGATGTCGTGTTATGTGGTTCACTTGATGTCGTGTTATGTGGTTCACTTGATGTCCTGGTATGTGGTTCACTTGATGTCCTGTTATGTGTTTCACTTGATGTCCTGTTATGTGTTTAACTTGATGTCCTGTTATGTGGTTCACTTGATGTTGTGTTATGTGTTTCACTTGATGTCCTGTAATGTGTTTCACTTGATGTCGTGTTATGTGTTTCACTTGATGTCGTGTTATGTGTTTCACTTGATGTCCTGTTATGTGGTGTACTTGATGTCCTGTTATGTGTTTCACTTGATGTCCTGTTATGTGGTTCACTTGATGTCCTGTTATGTGTTTCACTTGATTTCGTGTTATGTGTTTCACTTGATGTCCTGTTATGTGTTTCACTTGATGTCGTGTTATGTGTTTCACTTGATGTCCTGTTATGTGTTTCACTTGATGTCGTGTTATGTGTTTCACTTGATGTCCTGTTATGTGGTTCACTTGATGTCGTGTTATGTGTTTCACTTGATGTCCTGTTATGTGTTTCACTTGATTTCGTGTTATGTGTTTCACTTGATGTCGTGTTATCTGTTTCACTTGATGTCCTGTTATGTGTTTCACTTGATGTCGTGTTATGTGTTTCACTTGATGTCCTGTTATGTGGTTCACTTGATGTCGTGTTATGTGTTTCACTTGATGTCCTGTTATGTGGTTCACTTGATGTCCTGTTATGTGTTTCACTTGATTTCCTGTTATGTGTTTCACTTTATGTACTGTTATGTGTTTCACTTGATGTCCTGTTATGTGTTTCACTTGATGTCCTGTTATGTGTTTCACTTGATGTCCTGTTATGTGGTTCACTTTATGTAGCGTTAAGTGTTATGTATAACGTTTTACACGATTTCCCCGTACTTGAATTTTGCTTGACCCAAATTAGATCCCTAGAAGACGTTAGCGTTTGTTGTGGGCGTGGCCTATTCGTTTGATGTATCTTGTTGACTACCGCCTTTCCAATTAAACCTTGTAAGACTGCCTCCTAGTATTTTGTAGAATGTTTGCCATTGTTCTAGAAATGTAAACAAATGCTGAGTAGCTTCTGGAAGGCAGGGCTTACGCGTCGGTAGACCCACCAATATAAGAGATTGACAGATCGGGAGAGATTCAGACGGAGATTCAGATAGGTTTTATTAACTTCACGAGACGTGTATTATTCTTTGTTTTCTTATATATGTGTTTATTTCGCATTTAATCATTATTCATTGGCATATTATACGAACTGTGTTAACTGTGTACCGGTACAAGATCTACCATACTGTAAGTTGATGATTTGTAACGATATTTCTTTTCTTTTGTAATTACATTAATTTCTTTTCTTTTGAAATTAAATTAATACTTATTAAATCTTATTAATTGTAACAAGAAACTGTTTTGGGTGTCGTATCTTTAATTTTCTTGACTCAATGGTATTGTCCTCTGTTAGGCTCTGTTTACAACGAGCCAATTAAATTAAAAGAGGAGATTAATTTCTCATATTACAAGCCAGTGCGTAACACAAGTGTTTCACTTGATGTGATTTTAGGTTTTTTTTATGTCATGTCATGTGTTTCACTTAATGTCGTGTCATGGGCTTTACTTGATGTCATATTATGTGTTTCATTTAATATCGTGTAATGTGTTTCACTTAATATCGTGTTATGTGTTTCCCTTAACGCAGAGACAAACCTGGGAACAGTTGTGCTTACCAATTATAACATTCAATGACATAATACTCGGCACACAAGTTACAGTGAAAAATTAAACTTAATTTTCAGAACAGAATATAAAAAAAAAAAACCCAATGAGAAATTAGATTGAAAATGGTGCTTATGAGAGAACAGACCAGATAAATGAGTTAGATGCAGATAACTAGAGGTGGTTGGTTGACAAGTGGTGAGTCCAGAAGGACACGAATGTAAAGCTTGTTAATGCAGCTCCAGACTCACTGGACGGGACAAGTTGCGAGTGAGTGTCAGACGACCGTTGCCACCAAAAAAGATTATTTGTTGTTTTTTTTTGGTGTTTTTTTAAACTCGACTCCTCGCCCCCCCCCCCCCCCCCCCTCCCCCCTTCCCCCCCCCCC